AAAGATGAAACCGACTATTAGTTGAGTATTGCTGGGCAGTATGTCAAGCTAATGGGATTTATCCCTCCTCTTGCAAATGTTGTTTAATAGGATTAATATTTGATGTATAAATTCAAAACTACTTGACTGAGTAAAGACTATGTTTGCATGATCCCAGGAATTCAAAATGTCTTTCAATCCGTTGTCCGTAATTCTCAAAGAGAACAAACTTGTTGGTCCCAATTATATTGACTGGAAAAGGAACTTGGATATTGTGTTAACTGCTGAAGGGTACAAATTTGCTACTGTTGAGGCTTGTCCGGCTGTGCCTGCTGACAATGCACCAGACCAAGAGAAAGAGGAGTATGCTCGGTGGAAAAAGGCTGACGAGATGGCGAAGTGTTACATCTGGACATCTTTGTCAAATGTACTTCAACATCAACAGCAGTCTATGAACATTGCAGCAGAGATGATTCTCAATCTCAAGGAGTTATTTGGTCATCAGTCGTGGGCTGCCCGACAAGAAGCCATGAGGGTTCTGATGAACATGACCATGCACGAGGGCACTCCCATAAGGGAACATGTTCTTGCTATGATAGCCCAGCTGAATGAGTTGGAGGTTCTTGGGGCTTTTATTGATGGGGAAACCCAGGTCGATATAGTGCTCCAGTCTTTGCCGAAGAGCTTCGAGCAATTCCGGTTGAATTACAACATGAATAAGATGTTGATGACTCTTCCGGAACTTGTTGCTGAGCTTCAGGTGGCAGAGGGCCTGTTTCGTCAGAAAATCCAAGCCATGGTGGCCCAGCAGGGAGAAGCTTCCACTTCTAAGGCTCCTAAGGGCAAGAAGAAGAAGAAGTCCGCAGGAAAGGGCAAAGCGGTCATGAGTGACGCGCAACCTCGACAGAAGGTAAGGAAGCCAAAAGGTAAGTGCTACAACTGTCAGCAGAAAGGACACTGGAAGGCAAACTTCCCTCTTCCCAAGAAACCCGAAAAAGGTACTCCTTTTGCTTTAGTCGTTGAAACATGTTTAGCGGTGTTATCTACCAGTACTTGGTGTGTAGATACGGGGGCCACTGATCATGTCTGCAATTCATTGCATGGGTTCCAGGAAACCAAGCGACTTAGGGAAGGAGAGGTTACCATCTACTTGGGCGATGCTAGTAGAGCGTCAGCAGTTGCAGTGGGAGACGTCTATTTAGATTTTGGCTTAGATAGGTTTATAGTTTTGAAAGATTTTCTTTATGTTCCCAGTTTTAGAAAGAATTTGATTTCAGTTTCTAAGTTGTTTATGAACAGTTTTTCCGCTATGTTTGATAATAAAGTTATTATTCGTTTTGGCAAAAAGTT